AAAGCCCGCAGGTAAGTCGGAGTGGGTGTACGTTGGTGGTGGGAGAGGGAAAGGGAAAGGGAGAGGAAAGGGAAAGTGAGAGGAGACGGGAGAGAGAGAAAGAGAAAGGGAGAGAGGGATATAGAAAGACAGAGAGAGAGAATGGGGAGAGCTTAGAAAATTTACTGTTGGAGGGGAAAGGGAGGGAGAAGGAAGAGAACGAAGGAAGGAGAGAGATATAAACAGACAGATAGACAGAGACTGTTTTGTACTGTTCGACATATTGGCCTGGTAAAATTACAACACTTGTGTTATCCCGGTAGACAAGTGTTCGTTAAGCTAAATATAACTTGTTTTGTTAAAAGTGAACATGCTCTTATAATAAGGTCGTGTTACAATCCTTATAAAAAAATAGTTAACCTTCGTCCTTAAGAGAAAAAAAAACATTCGTAAGGAGAACTACACGGTGTTTACCTTTACACAAGCCTCAGGGCAGAGGTAGAGATATAAGGGAGTCACTGGCCGAAGGCAAAAGGGGGGGGGAGGGGGAGGGTGCGTTAAGAAAAGTTCATCCCCCCTCTATTGGCCTTCCCCTCCCCCTCCCACCCATGCCCTCTCCCCTTCTCCCTTCCCTCCCTACGCTCTCCCCTCCCCCCGATATCCCCACCCTCTCCACTCCCTCGTTCACCCCTTTTAGTCCTTCATCTGGCCATGATATTAAGCAGGACCCAATTCCGTGAAGCAAGGAGTCATTGTAGATGAAGACCCGCGGGAGAGAAAGGGAGAGAGGCGCTCTACACAGGGCAGGTGTTCTGGGGCTCGGTGTGTGTGTGTGTGTGTGTGTGTGTGTGTGTGTGTGTGTGTGTGTGTGTGTGTGTGTGTGTGTGTGTGTGTGTGTGTGTGTGTGTGTTTGAGAGAGAGAGAGAGAGAGAGAGAGAGAGAGAGAGAGAGAGAGAGAGAGAGAAACAGTTATAATATATTAAAGACAAGCGACTGGTTAGTGCATCGGTGATCCCCATCATTAATACAGAACGACTTCCTCGCCATTAATCATATAAAATTAGTGCGCTGCAAAGGGATTACATTCACACTTATTAACCGTTCTGCAATGTAGACAACCCCGCGCTCTATATATATATATATATATATATATATATATATATATATATATATATATATATATATATATATATATATATATATATATATATATATATATATATATATATATATATATATATATATATATATATATATATATATATATATATATATA